ACACAATGCTAGAGCCACAAACGAACCTGAGCTGCAGCAATAGGGGAAATCCCACTACACAGGGGTGTTCTGCTGGGTAACCTCATAGCAACACCAGGGGGAGCGTGCACACAGAGCTCAGGGTGATGATGCTGGTACAGGTTGCCCAAAGAAGCTGTGGATGCACCATCCTTGGAGGTGCACAAGGCCAGGTTGGGTAGCAGCCCTTTCCACAGCAGGGACTTGGAACTGGAGGATCAAGGTCTGTTCTAAACCAAGCCATTCTATAATTCTGTAATTGTACCAGCAGACCTGCCTTGTTAGTTCACAAGGCAAAATGCAGTCCTGTGAGCACAAAAGATGGGAACCAATGGGTAAGGCTCATTCTTGCTTGGGAGTTTTCAGTAGATTCTCAAGTCTTCAGCACCACTCTCTTGTTTTTTTTAATTCAAAGTTTCTTCTTGTTCCTTCCAATTATTTTTTGTTCCAACGGCAATAAAACCTTCCAGTAGGTCCTTACCATGAAGTCGTGGAAAAAAAATGAAAAGAATCAGTGCAACATCTGATAAATCTGAAGAATCATAAACATGACTAACAGCTGTCTGAGGATTCAATGCCTTTGAAGACAGTGGAGACTTTCTCGTGAGATTCAAGCAAGCAGTGTCCAAAATGACATACCAATAATCAGACTTTTGATGTTTGTTTATGAGAGCAATCCATAGCACGATACTTCATGAACAAGGCAGGCAGAAAAGCTGCTTCTCTGCAAGCTCAATGGGACACAGTGCATGCTAAGCAGTAAAAATGGTAATATTCTGCCACTTTACATGCAGAATCCTTTGAGCTGTGACAGCCGTACAGTTAAAAAACAGAAGAAATATGCTTAAAGTATATATTTATTGATGGCCTTCATCTTTAGCTTTGAATTTTTTTGCTAGAGTTAATATTCAAAGCATAACATAACACAAAGAGCACTGCTACAGAATTAGGATCTGTCTTCTCATCCTTCTCTTCTCCATTTTTTTTTGAAAGCATTTAAGATTACAGTTTGCAAACCTGACTTATAGCAGCCAAAGGAAGGAAACTGAGTCACATTCACTCGGAGTCACACCCGCTAATTATTTTTAAAAAGTTACAGAGCAAAATTTGCTCATTTTCCTCTTTGCATGACCCAAGCTTAATGATAAGTGATGCCTTACGCATCATTCAAAAGCAGCCTGGACTGACAAGCTGCAAACTCAAAGCAACCTGACGGACTTCAGGGCTTTCAAGTTTTGTGTATGGTTTCTGAAAAGCCATACACAGCTCCACACTGCATGGTTCTGGGTCCTTCAATACCTGCCCAGGTTCAGCTACACTCAGATTTACACTCAAAACTAAACGAATTGCAATCATAGCCTGATTGGAGCATACATGTGTATTGAGCAGTCTAATATTGCACTCAGATGGACATGAAGACCAAAAAATCACATGCAAGAGCACTGAAAAGACACAGAGCATCACCCAGCAGAAAGCTGTACCTCATTTTCTTGTAAGCTTTTGGAAACCTCAGATGACTGAATACTGTAAGATGCTCAGCCTGTGGTCATATTTGAGTCCTTGCAGGTGCTGGTGATGACATTATGGATGCTGCATGGCCACCACCAGAGAAAAAACAAAACTGCACTTGAGTGATGGGTGCCACCAGACCGAGGAAAGAAAATCCGTGCTCATTTAGCATGACCTCAAGACTCTACATTTACCTGCATAATTCATCATATCTGCACAAAAAACCTTCAATTTCCCAGAAAATCCACGCATTTTAAGTTCTGGACCAAGCTCCAATTAGAGGAAAGAGCCGAGTTCAGTGATGAGATGTGCATTCTCATGGACTGACACCAGCTCAGGGCAATGTCACACCACGATGCATCCAAGCATTACAACCATCTTACATCTGCCCTAGAAGGTCGGGTACCCAGCAGACAGGGTTTCCCCATCGTTCAAACTTTCCAAATGCAGAAGGGGAGCCAAAAAACCCTGAATGCCCACTTAACACTTGTGCCTCCACAAGGAATGTGCTCCAAAGACCAGACTAAGGCAGCAGCATTACCTGACCTTCAGCTCCTGTGATGCAGAGATCTGGCACACATTAACCAGTGTGTGTCCCTAACAGAGTGTGAGGATAAAGACTGAAGCCAAACAGATGGTCCTCTGAAAATCTTCCCTAAAGTGTTCTGTGTACTAAAACATCACTTACCCAAATCTCATCAAACTTGGCTTGGTTTTTAAGTCTCAAGCCAAGTTTGAAGAAAAATATTCAGCTGGGAACAAGTGGGGAAAAGAGACTTTTTCCTGTACTTAAATAATATACAGTTTTTTAAAAAGTTGTTCCAAACTTGGAAAAAAAATTAAAAGTAGAACCCAGCTCTTTTAGGTTCAGACCAAGCACCATGAAAAGAGCTGACACCAAATGCAGAATTACGAACAAGTGACAGAAATAAAGAGAAATGGAAAGAGAACTGTAACTAGCCATTAAGTATAATGACCTATCAACACCTTCTATAATGCACACAAAGCCTCAAACAAGGAAATCACATCTGCATAGAATATGGGCAGCTATTGTTTGCAAGGACATACAGGCCTTGCAGAACACTTCAGGGTCCCGATTTTGCCATCAGATAGCCAACAATAGAGTTACTCATCAGTAGACCCAACTAGCAACAACTGGGTACTCAAATTAGCAGCCACTAATTTTAGCAGTGTGTGCAGGATTAGCAACAAAATATTATATCCAGTTAATAAAGGAATGTGACTGGGCACCACTCAAATAGTTCAGCTGAAAAGCATTCTCCAAATTCAGCAGAAGATGCCAAGAGAAGAGTTAAAATAAAGAATAAAGATGAATAAAAAAAAAAAAACATGCACTCATTTTCATAGTTATGTATATATGTTAAGCATATATCATAGAATGGCCTGGGTTGATCTAGTTCCAACCCCCTGCTATGTAGGATGTCCAACCAGCAGCCCAGGCTGCCCAGAGCCACATCCAGCCTGGCCTTGAATGCCTGCAGGGATGGGGCATCCACAGCCTCCTTGTGCAACCTGCTCCAGTGTGAAATATAGACTTTAAGCCCTTGAAAAACGATGCCCTAAGTGTATTAAAATAAAAGGAGGTTACAGCTAAGTAAAATTCTTCCCTTGTCTTTCAGTGGTCCTGGTGAGCAGGATGGTGTTTGTGTGAGCGGTCAGCAGGACTGATATCAGCAGAAACACGGCCAGGCATTTTGCTTCTGTTCTGCACAGCGTACAGCATAGATGGTCCTCAAGAAGAAAGTCATTATTAATAATTCATGACAGGCTCTGAATGAGATATTCCAGCAGATAGCACTGTGACTTCTGGGGTAAATAAAAGGATGTTTTTATCCTCAGGATAGGAATGGAAGGGTGCGCCACGTTAAATACCAGCGTGGTTTCTGAGGGACTAATTGTTAAGAAAGAGTATTTATGATCAGAGGATTGTAGAATGGGGCTTTCATTGAGAGGCAATTATCCATACACAAATAACTTTAATACTTTGGCATTTTTATAACCACTACATTATTTATTTTCCTATATATTCTATTGAAATACCATTCCCCTGGTTACAAGTACGCAGTACTTGGTACTTTTTTTCTTTTACTGCATTAAAATTAAAATAAAATAGAGGAACACTTTGAAATAAGCTGAAGAACAATAGGTCCTATTTAACCATTGAACACAACAGTATTTGGCTTTCGTGCTTTTGATCAATATTTATGTGACAAGCTATTCATTACTCTTCTCCTCTACCAGTTTAATGCTGTTGTTCTTCCCACAGCCTGATCTGCACTTTTATGTATTTAATTTATAACAGTTTCCATGGAAAAGAAGTATTCAAAGAAGAAAAAAAGTGCTGATACAGCACGTGGATCTTTCTACCAAGCCACAAATCTTTTCTAATGTTCATCTTAAACTGGAGGCAATTCTGGGAAACAAATTAATGATATAAATCATATTATCATTACTCACGTAAAGATACTCTGTTGTAACTCCTTCAGAGAGCTACAGTGAGTCGCTGAAAGAACTCTGTATGGAGAATGCCTGTTCCTAATTAAATGATCTAAAAATAGAGTTGCATACATCTAGGACCAAGCCATCTGTGTTATCTCTCTAAGATAAGCCATTATACACCCACAACGATATCCCTTTCATCACTGCAGATACGCAGACTGAGGACTGGCCTCTCTCTCCAATTTAGGAGGGGGGAAAAGGAGCAAGAAAGCAACGTTTTCACCCAGACAATCTATCTGAATGTCAGGTCTGTTGTTCTGAAATCTCGTATCTATTTCTGTCAGTCAGCTGCCCGACACAAAGCAGCAGCCAAGGAGGACTTCTCCACCAAACACCTTCCCAATGCAGTAAAGAAAGGCACTTCTAATGGGCTACTGGGGCTGTTTTCATGGTTACTGTCTGTGTGTTTTAGTATTTCCGCAATTAAAAAGTTTAGCTTTCCTCTGCTTACACTGATGATTACAAGGACAACGTTAAAAAGAAACTGGAACAACGCTGTACCTAAGAATCTGGGTTTGAAAGGTCAGGAAAGAGACTCTCATGACATCTTTGGTGATAACAAAGGCAGCAGCAGCTTGTCTTACAGTCTGGAGCTTTGGAGACAGAAAGCAGGCCTCTCCTCCTCAAAACAGCTTCCCATTTCATCAGCCAATGGTTGAGGAATAGGAGAAAAGCTTATCAGGGTCTGTCAATGCTCTGCTCTTGTATGAGGCAATCCAAAGCCATGTATGTTAACTTCATTAAAAGCACTGCTGCCCTTCCACTTCTGCCATCAGAAATAAGAATACTACTTCACAGTAACGTTCAATTTCTCAGCTTGGGAAGTAAAAATCATACACTGCAGACCCTCTACTAAAATATATATACTTACAACAGCTACAACGAAGTACACACTTCATTTCCCCTTCCAGCTGAACACCTTGGAACAAAATAACAGCCACACAAAGACTAACCTTGGAATAAGTGCTGTTTGCTGGTCTCCACTGTTCTCCATTCAAAAGGAAGGGAACTGTTATCTCATAATCTTTTGACTGGTCCTTCAGCATCTGCTGTCTCAAGGACTCCAACTTGCTGTCCACATTCTGACCTAGGAGAGGGAGAAGCACTTACGTTAGGAGGGAGCAAGGTGTGACAACCTGAACATTATTTTATTTAAGGGACCTGGCAGCCCATTTCAGAAGGAGATAATTCAGGAAAACCATTAGACATTAGAACATCATGCTTTCATTGTCCAAACCTACACATTGTTGAAGGAGGGCGGGGGTTTAGGGAGAGAAGGTTGGAGATGGTTTCCATTTTCAATCATACATTCTGTGCAAAGACTGCACTGAAAAGCCACAGAGTAGCTGATGAGGGAACAGCAAACCAACCCATGCAGCACCTGAAATCCAGCTTTAAAACTATACAGAAGATTTTTGTTCTTATGCCTTGAGATATACAAACGTTGCTATTATTTATGAAGATGTTCTCATATATTACTCTCCGCTTTTTTTTAAACTAGAACTTCAGTATTGCTGTCAGGGGCCCTGGAAATGGTGTTCAGCACTGCAAAAAGACAGGACAAGGTAAGGAGTAAAGACAGAGCACAAAGACAAGGAGCTGGGACTCAACACCTGACTCAAAAACATGAAGAGATATTGGCACCAGCTATTTCAAGTGTTACGTTAATAAACACATTAGGGCTTCACTTCTTTTCATTGAAGGTGACAGCAAAGGGAATGCAATGAAACTGTCATTCCAGTGTCATCACTAAGAGGGTAAGCAAGCTGCAGGGACCTAAGGGAGATAAGACTTTACCAGGACTTTTTTTTTTCCCCCCAGTAATTAAGGTAAGGTATTCATTTCAGTCCCTCAGTTCCTCTTTTCCCCGTTCTTCCCAGACACAAACACGCTGGATCCAATCCACGGCAGCAGTGGCTGCAAGGAGGATAGCATATGTGGGGTGTAACTGGTGACATGCTTCCTCTAGAATAAACAAACCCGGGTGCAGCACAACACAAGCTCCAAAGAACAGATCACAATCCCAGACTTCCCCCGTGTCTTTCCCATTTCAGTAGAGTTGCCTGGTCTACATCCTTTGTGAGTCTGAGCCACTGAGTACAGAGGGAACAAGCCCATCACAGGTGCCTGAATGTTCCAGGTTGATTGCACATGACTGATTAACCAGGTTTAATCCTAGATATTTCATTATCCCCCAAACACTTCTTCACGTCATCTTATTCCACTAAATGTGGCAAGGTGTGGTTGCACTCCATTTCAACAAGTCTGTGCCATGTACAGCAAGAAAAGACTTAAGTATTCACTTGTCTTCATGGCTTCAGTGTTTCTATACAGACAGGCAAGGAGGTCATGAAAAAAAAAACAACACAAGAATCCCATAACATCAAGGATGCACATTCACATTAGGAAAAAAAAATATTCTGGAAGAGAATATAAATTCTCTCCAAAACAATGCTCTACTTCTACACATCAGATGACTTCAACTCGTACTATAATACCAAAAGGCTATTTGCATACAACATTTATCAACTGTTTCTCCTCTCACTAAGCATACTAGTGTCATTGTGCCTGTCAGAGCAAAGTGGCCTAAAAGAAATAAACCATAATACAGGATCTAGAAATGGTACTGAGAGTGAATCTTGAGAAGATGAGGATGGTTTGCAGGTGCCATGAGAAAGTTGGAAGGCTGGTGGGGTTTGTCACACTTGCCCTACCAACACACTGAGCCCTCTGGAGCACTCAGATCCCCTGAGAATGAAGGTTGTCCATGCAGAGAAAGAGTTCTTCCCCTGTTTCAGCAGAGCCCATTGATAGGCACCTAGCAGGGCGCAATGCCAGCATGGAGTGATAACCCAAACCCTGCAGATTAGGTTCACCCCACAGAGGAGTAGAGGATATCACCTCACCAGCCCAGGAGGGTCTCATTATTACTAATTAGACCTATCTGGACAGCACAGATCCTCACAGCCCTTCATTCTGATGGTCAGCCATGAAGCTCCCTCACAGAGCACAAGTTTATGAAGCATATCTCAGAGAAATGAGAAAAGCTTGGCCCTAGCCCTGATTTCTTTGTCCTTTCTTGGCTCGCTGGAGCAGCCTCAGCTCTGTGAATCCAATGACTCAGGCTCTTCCATTATTTTACAGGATTTGCACTCTGCAAGCTCTGTGCAGCCCAGGCTTTAAGAACCCCTATGAGCACAATTCTCCTTCCACAGACACACCGTCTGCATCACTTCCATGCAGCCCTATGCCATGGGCTGCAGCTAGATGTCAGGAGGCTTTAAAGTCCTCTGCTATTCCTACACATGCAAGCTGCCTTTCCTATTAACTCTGCAAATCGTTAACATCATGGCACCATCCAAAACAGAAAAAAAAGGAGAGAGGAGAGACAGCATTTGCACACATGCAGATATATTACTCCCTCCTTACACAGCATGGTCTAACAAGTGTAACTGTGATGAAAATACCATTTGAAAAGTGAATCATATCTACATAAAATATGGTTTAGTATTGCCCCCCCTCCTTTTATTATTTGGGAATGCTTACACAACAGAGTGATGCTTGTGGTGCATGAAGAATAAGGTTACAACGAGCAGATTTAATCTTACACACATGCTTATTTATCTGCACACTGGAAAATGCACGTTGCCTACAGGTGTTGATAGTCTGGAGACAGACATCAAGACAGGTTTATGGGCAACAGTAATATCTTTATTGGGAGGGATAATTTATTTGGGGGAAACAGAACAGACATGCTTTAGGGCTTGCAAAATCTTCTGAAGCCATAGATTTATAAAATCCGAGATCAATTTCTGTCTGGATTCTTTCCTTCAGTTTTGCTGCTTATCTGGATGCTGTTTTTGTTTAAATTACTGCAGGTGATAAAAATCACAGCTTTCTGCACAGATAGAGAAAGCAGTGCAACCAGGTGATGTGGCCTCCCTCCCAAAAAAGCACTCCAGTGCCCAGCACTGCACATTTGCTCAGTTCCCAACTGTCCTTAGTGTGACATATCCACATCACAACTTATTCTGCCAAGAAAACAGCAGTTGGGTATTTTGTTTGTTTTCCCCCTGTTTTAAGATCACAACACCAACATGCTGTGTGTATTCCTGACAGACTACAACATCCATAGAACTGATGGGTAAATGTGAGATCAATCTTTTCAAATAAAAACCTGGGGAAGATACAAAGGTAAATCCTTCAGGTGAGATTAGTCAGCCTGGTTGAACAGCTTCAAAGAATGCCTAGCAAAAAACAAGGGCTCACGGCTGATGATGAGTGACCCCCACATATTCAACTGAAATGGGAAAGGTGAGCAGGGCTGGTGGCTTGTGAGATGCTGTCAAAAACGGGACCCAGACACACAAGTCTTGGATACAGAAAGACCCAAAAATCAGGGAAAGGAGAAGAGTCCCAACAAGACAGTCTGGAAAGAAAGAAAAAAAAAAAAGAGAGATGTGGATGTGCAGGAAAAATAGAACAAACTTAAGTGCAGCCCCAGAGCAGCCCTGAACCTGAGCAGTGGTCTGGGCTTCCATACAGGTGAGAGGGCTGCCAGCAGCTCTGCAGGGTTGAAGCAATCACACAGCCATGCCTCAGGACAAGTGGGAATCACCAGATTTATCCCAGTGAGGGACACTTCATCCAGTTTCTTGCAAAAAAGACTGAACAAAACACACTTCCATTGCTCTGCTGCTTATGGGCCACCAAGCTCAGAGCACCAGTGCAGCCCCCCAAAGGGCTTCCCAAGAGAGGAGCCCAATGCTCCTTCCTCTGTGCTAATGGAGGGTTTCCATCACCTTGGTCCCTTCCTACAAAATCCCAGTGCCTTAGATATTACAGACTCAGACTTGCTAATATTTCCTCTGCCACCCTTTGTCACTTCTATACATTTTCACTATGATTTCTTTGAAGTAGCAGCCATTAGAGTCGTTTGAGTTACATTAATAATGAGGCCTCCTCTCTACAGGGACTCTTGGTATTACAACAGCATAAACATCGTAATAATTGAAATTAGAGAATTGAGATTTCTGTAACATGTCATTAGAAGGGAAGAAAACCAGGCCATCGATATTGCCAGACACTTTTATTGGAGCCAGGTTTCCTATCTTTTGTGTCACTCGCACCTTCTGACTCCAATACTCATTTTCCATTCCAGTGAAATTCTGCCCAGCTCCTCTTGATGCACGCTTGTCTCTCTCTTGTTCACATGGAAAACTTCACCGTTGTGTCAATCTGACCCCTATTTTTAGCCTGCACTGAAAGTAGTGCTTTTGATCCTGGAGCAGCCCATAAAATTGTGTATCGCCCTTCATTCTTCATCTCAATTATATAAAAGACAGTTTGTACAAATAGCAAGATGAGAAGATGTTATCTGTCAGAGATTTTTGCGCTGCTTACATATTTTTCATCTGCAATGTACATCTACAGCTCCTCTTTGCATGTTATCGTGCGAGGACTTGTTGGCCAAGCAGTTAAAAGAGTTGTCATCTTTTTCTTTGCATTTCAGTTCCCTCAAGCTGTGTGCAAAACAAACTCCACGCACGTGATGCGACATCTCAGTTTAAGGGCCAGCGCCTCCTGAAAAAGCCCAGACACACTTCAGATTCCCCTCTACTCAAAATTAATAAGCTTTTAGTCAGGCCGCACAGCGTATTTCTCCTTAAGATAAACAAAGAGACGAGTGCTCCCCAGTGCACACAGGACTGGATGAGATGAGCTGATGGAAAGGAGAGCTGCCTGGCAGAGCACGGAGCCCAGCTCACGTTGCTTATGCACAGCTCACTGCAATGGCTGAGCCAGTTCATATACATCATCCATCTCTTCACCTATACAGATCTACAAAGCGAAATCGTGGCACTCTGCCTCTTTCCTATGCAGGCATTGGGAACAACACCTATGCTTCTTATCCCCATCACTCCCACAAAATGCCCTCAAGGCCCCAGAGGCACCCAAGGGACCCCACATCCTCATCACCATCATCACCCACCCCAATGCCATGTGGGGTCCACCTGCAGCCCCACTCTTTTCCACCCCTCATGTTCTCTACCACAAAAATCAAAGTAACAGCCATAGGGAGGAAGA